ACAAGTAAATCTAATGTTGGGGTGTTGTGAATTAAGATAAGAAAGAAAAGGATTGATATGAGAGGGGTCACTGAAAAGCAGGAAAGTGTCGTCCATATATCGACGGTAATAAATTGGGTTGAAGTTCGAAGGGCAGTTGTTGAGCCAAGCTTGTTCATGATAACAAAGGAAAGTATTAGCATAACAAGGGCCAAGTGGTGATCCCATTGCTACGCCGTCAACTTGAGTGTAAATGGACTCATTAAAAGTAAATACTGAATGGTGAGCAGCGATGTCTAAAAGTTTTCCACAGGTTGTTTTGTCCAGACCAAACGCATTTAGAGTCAAAGCGGTAGTTTTGTCAACTATTTTTCTGTTGTTTCTCTTAGTGGGACATTTGTAAATAGTGATTCTATGTCAAAACTGGCCATAATAACAGGGTGTAAGGGTTTTAGCGAGCAAATTTCTTTGACAAAAGCAAAGGAGTTGTCTATTGTATACTGATTGATCGTAAGTGGGGAGATTATCTTCACTAAGAATTTGGCAATGTTGTAGTTGAAAGTACCAACTGCTGAAATGATGGGCCGAAGGGGATGACCAAGTTTGTGTATTCTAGGCAGGCCATATAAGAACCAGGTTTTGAGCCAGAAGTAGTGAGAAGGTTTTAAGTGGCTTCCCCAATAGATGTTTTTATAGGACGTAACAACCTACTCAATTTGTCTTCTAGCTTTAAAAGATAACTAGCAGTATCACAGCTAATTCGTTTAAATTTAGAGCTATCATCCAGTATGGACAGTAGTTTGTTTTAGTAATCGTCTTTGTTAAGGATAACGATTCCACGACCTTTATCTGGTCTGGTAATGATGATATTATCATCATCCTTTAAAGATTTCAGTGAAGCAAAGAATGATTGATGTTCATGGTTGTTCTTAATATAATGTTTAAATTTCTTGAATGTGTTGTTAGCCACGATAGAGATGGTACTTGTGATATGGTTCGACCTCTCTTTATAAATCTTACAGTCCCGGATGGTATGACAGTTTTTCAAAACAAAGAAAAAAATGTGTGTGGTTTGACCTGATCATAGCTGAATCTCTACACATCATTACCATGAACCCAGCACTCAATAGCA